AAAGAAGTAGAATATATAAAGGATTGAGTGGAAATTTCAGAACTGAAAAATACCATGAAACCAAAATATAAACCTCAATGGCAGGACTCAACAGCAGAACAGGCAAGCTGTAAAAATCAGTAAATTTGATGATACAATACTAGGTATCACCTAATCTGAAAAATAGAAAAAAATAGTGTAAAACATAGAGTCTCAGGGGACTTTGGGACGACATCAAAAGACCTAACATTCATGTCATCAGAGTCCTGTAATGGGAGAAGAAAAGAAAACAGGGTTGAAAACATATCTGAAGAAATAAAGGCTACAAGTTTTCCAAACCTGACAAAAATATAAAAACCTACAGTCTCAAGAAGCTAAGAAAAGCCCAAAAAGGATAAATCCAAAGGAATTCATACCAAGATACATCATAGTCAAACTTCTTAAATCTAAAAATTAAAAAAAAAAAATCATGAAATCAGACTTGTGGGGGGAGGGGGGAAAGGGCATTTATTGAAACCTTAAAATCTGTACCCCTATAATATGCCAAAATAAAAAAAAAAAAAAGAATATTGCAATGGAAAAAAAAATCATGAAAGCAGTGAGAGAGAAATGACACCTGACCAATACAAGAAAACAATTTAATTGATGGCAGATTTGTACCATAAACCCAATAGAAAGTGGCACAACATTTTTCAAGTGCTAAAAGAAAAAAACTATCAACTCAGATTTTTTTTTCTGAGACAGAGTCTCACTCTGTCACCTGGGCTAGAGTGCCGTGGCATCAGCCTAGCTCACAGCAACCTCAAACTCCTGGGCTCAAGTGATCCTCCTGCCTCAGCCTCCTGAGTAGCTGGACTACAGGTAGAGAAAGGAGAATAATTTTTGATGAAGCTTAATTGATAAAGGCTGTTAATTATAGTTGTCCTCCATGGGGCTAAGAAGTCTTCACCTAGCACAAGGTTATAAATATAACCCTCTGTTTTCTTCTAAAAAACTTTATACTGTAACCTTCACAGTTAAGTGCTTGATCCATCTTGAATTAATTTTTATATATAGGTGATGTAGAGATCCAAAATGTATTAATTGTTGCTATATAATTATCTATTTCATTTAGGAACATTTATGGAAAAGGCTTTCCCTTCCTCATTGACTTGCTTTGTGGATCTTTGGTCAAAAATCAATTGACCGCATATAAGTGAGGGCAATTTCTATAGTCTATATTCTTTCTCATTGATCAATTTACCAATCCTTATGCCAATATCACATGTCTTAGATTATAGTAACATTAGTATAATAGTAACCTGTATGAATTTACACTGCACAAGCAATGAATGAGAGTACTATACACAGTATAATTGTTTGTCACAAACTTTTATATTTTTTTCAGTCTGATAAGTGGAAAATAAAAGATATCTCAATGTAGTTTAAATTAGCATTCTCTATTTTATGGAGACATTGAACACTTTTTTTAATTTTAAGTGCCTTTTTTTTTTTAATTGTGCATGGCATATGTTTAATAATTAAGTGCCTTTTTTTTTGGAGAGAAGTCTCACTCTGGTTGCCCAGGGCTAGAGGTGAGTGTCCATGGCATCAGCCTAGCTCACAGCAACTCAAACTCCTGGCTCAAGCATCCTCCTATTCAGCCGTCCTGAATAGCTGGACTACAGGCATGCGCACCATGCCTGGATAATTTTTTCCTATATATTAGTTAAGCCAATTAATTTCTTTCTAATTTTAGTAGAGATGTAGTCTCACCCTTGCTCAGGCTGGTTTCTAACTCCTGACCTTGAGTGATCCTCCCGCCTCAGGCCTCCCAGAGTATATCCTAGGATTATAGGCATGAGCACAGCACCCAGCCTTTAAGCGCTTTTCTATTTTCTTCCTGGTCACTGTCTGTGGTATAATTGTTAATACTTTTTCCTAATTTTGTCATTGTGTCTTCTGGTTTCAGTAGTTGTGTTTTTTTTCAGAGCACAAGTTTCAAACACTGTTATTTTATATAGTCACATTTATCGTTTTGTAATGGTTTCTTGATTTGAGTCATTATTGAAAGGCCTTCTGACTACAAAATTTATAAAGAATGTATCCTATATGTTTCTTCAGCACATTTATTATTTCATTTTTTTCACATTTGAATCTTTAGTTCACTTATAATTTGTCTTACTGTAAGGCATTGAGGTATGGTTTCAACATTCCTTGCCCACCGCCCGCCTCGGAGTGATATAGAATTGTCCACAAAAGTACATATAATGGTCTACTTTGTTCCATTGATTTTATTTTTTTCTTTTCATTTTTTTTATTTCAGGATATTATGGGGTACAGACTTTAAGGGTTTCAATAAATGCCCTTTCCCTCCTCCCCCACAAGTCTCGAGTTTCCAGCATGACCATCCCCACGATGGTGCACTTCTCACTCATTATGTATGTATATACCGCCCCCTTCCCCTGCCCAATACCCTATTACTGTAGTACCTATGTGTCCACTTAGGTGCTACTCAGTTAATACCAGTTTGCTGGTGAATATATGTGGTGCTTGTTTTTTCATTCTTGGGAAACTTCACTTAATAGTATGGGTTCCAGCTCTAACCAGGAAAATATAAGATGTGCTATATCACCATTGTTTCTTAGAGCTGAATAGTATCCATGGTATACATATACCACATTTTATTAATCCATTCTTGGATTGATGGGCATTTGGGCTGTTTCCACAGCCTTGCAATTATGAATTGTGCTGCTATAAACATTCGAGTGCAGGTGTCTTTTTGGTAGAGTGTCATTGGATCTTTTGGGTAGATGCCCAGCAATGGGATTGCTGGATCAAATGGTAGATTCACTTGTATCACTTTAAGGTATCTCCATATTGCTTTCCACAGAGGTTGAACTAGTTTGCAGTCCCACCAGCAATGTAGGAGTGTTCCTCTCTCTCTGTATCCACGCCAGCATTTGTTATTTGGAGACTTTTTGATAAAGGCCATTCTCACTGGAGTTAAGTGATATCACATTGTAGTTTTGATTTGCATTTCCCTGATGATTAGAGATGATGAGCATTTTTTCATATGTTTGTTGGCCATTCTTCTGTCTTCTCTAGAAAAGTTTGTGTTCAAGTCCTTTGCCCACTTTTTAATAGGGTTATTTGATTTTTTTCCTTGCTGATTTTCATGAGTTCTAAGTATATTCTAGTTATCAGCCCTTTATCAGATACGTAGGATGCAAAAATTTTCTCCCATTCTGTAGGTTGTCTGTTTACTTTCATGACTGTTTCTTTGACTGTGCAGAAGCTTTTTAGTTTCATCATGTCCCTTTCCCATTGATTTTAAATGTCATGTTTATCATATACTAAATCCCAATCTGTTTGGGATTATATTTCTAGAATTTATTGGGCTGACTATTCTGCATCCATAACACACCATTTTAATTATTGAAGCTTTAAAATAGATGTTAGTATCCAGAAGGACTATTTTTCAGAATTTTCCTGGCTATTCCAATTTGTTTAATTTTTCTCATACATCTTCAGAATTATATCTCCTAGTTGGAAAAAAATATCTATTTTGAAAATAGAAGTATTTCAGTAAATTCATTGGGATCTAATTAAATTACATAGAGAAATTTGATATTTTTATAATGATGAATACTATTTTTCTATCCAAGAACATGGTATATTTTTCCATGTATTCTCATTTCCTGTCCTTCAGTATATTTTAAGATTTTATTCATGTAGACCTTATGCCTTTCTAACTAAATTTATTCCTGCATATTTTACATTTGTTGGTGCTATCCTAAATTGTAGGATTTTTCCATTCCATTCTATAGTACACAGAATAATGGGCCCCCAAAGATGACCACGTCCTAATCCCACAAGCTGGAATATGTTAGGCTACATGGCAAAGGCAAAGAAAGGTTGCTGATCAGCTGATCTTAAAATAGGAAGATAATCCTGGATGATCTGAGTGGAACCAATGCAATGACAAGAGTCCTTAAATGTGGAAGAGAGAGGCAAAAGAGTCTATGTCAGAGTGATATGAAGTGGGAAAGACCAAGTGGCCCTTGCTGGCTTTGAATACAGAAGGAGGTCACAAGACAAGGACGTAGACAGCTCTAGAAACTGGAAAAGGCCAGAGAAGGGTTCTCCCCTAGAGACTCTTTAAAGGATCAGGAACAAGTAGTAACTTTTCTTAGGGAAATACTAAGTAAGTATTCCTCAGAATAAATATGCATACTTTTCAACAGATCATATCTAAATATCCAATAGAAGCCAACACCGTGACAAATTTCTAGCAAATGTTGTACCACAAGCAAACACTAGGCACTGAAAATGATATAAAATGTGGGCTTTGGAAAACCAACACGTAACCAGTCACTTTTTCAAGAAATTTCTTGTTAGCAATCGGAGACCTTCCATGGAAAGCTAAATCATGAGTCTAGTAATTATCTTTAAAAAGAGCCTTACTTTAGACTAACACTTTAATCCATACTCACGATGTTCTAACATATTAATAAAATGGGAAAATCAGTTGGACAGAACATAATAGAATACTGATTTCTAAATTCACCAATAATTATTAGACATTAATAGTTGCTCTTTTCTAGGGAAGAAACGAAAAGAAGGATGGACTCGTTCCTGTTCAAGCTCCATGCCAGGCAGAGGTGTCAACAGGAACTTAATGGACTTGATATACTCACACCTGCTTAATCACGGATGCTGCTAGGACTGTGATGACAGTTCCTTTTGAAGACATAATGTGAAGCTCTGGGTCCAATGACAAGTAGTAGTTGCGATGGGTAATACCTTAGTAACAGCCTGCATGCACACTTTTATGAGACAAGTAACTCTTCTCAGGCAAGTAAAAAGCAGACTAATGAGATGTTCCTATAGGATGTGATATAAACATTAGAAAGGAAAACATCCCACCTGTTGTGACACCACCTAGAGGGAAGGCTATATAAGCACTTCAAAGAGGAAAAAGCCAAGAGGCTTGGAATTTAGACTCAGCTGAGGTTGCTTGAGCTTTTCATCCTGGTGACCACAGACTTTGAAACGAACTAAAGCCAGACACGCACAATGGACACCAAGGGCTGTACGACAACTATTGCTTCTTCAACCCCATGCCAAAACTGCTCCAGGATTACAAATTTTAGGACCATCTCTTCTAACAACAGCTGCCATCGCGGTGGTCTTGAAGCCAACAGCTGCCAACCACCTGGCCACGTTCTGAGAATGCCCCAGGACCAGGGCTGCCAACCCACTCCTTGCTTTTGTCGCATGCCCACCTACATAATAAGAAACCTCAACGCCTGTCTCTCTCCGGACGACTGCGGCTGGTATGGCGAAGGCATCAACAGTCATGAGAAGGAGACCATGCAAATCTTGAATGAACGCCTCGCAAACTACCTGGAAAAGGTGCGAATGCTGGAAAAAGAGAACACCGAACTAGAGTGCAAAATCCAGGAAGAGTGTACCAAAGAGCTGCCGGTCCTCTGCCCTGATTACCAGTCCTACTACAGAGCCATTGAGGAGCTCCAGCAGAAGGTAAGAGTCTTAGGAACCTGTTTAATCAAGTTGTGATTGATGGTCTCCAAGCAAAAGTTAATTGCTAAACTCTAATATTTTTAGTTCATTTTATGCTGAAAAGCTTTTTTTTTTAAGAATAAGAAAATCTCTTGAGTGAAACTGTCATCTTGAGGCAACATTCAGAGTTTTGTAGTTTTTCCTGTTTCCAAAGATACACTCTACCCTTACAACTAGATAACTCATGATGAAAACATGTTAACAACAAGTTGCTACCATTTCTTAAATAAAAATAAGAAAACAGGGATCTGAGAAAATGAATTTTGTTTTAATAAGTTCCTAACCAGTTTCATTTCTATCCATTTTGTAACTATCACCACCTTTTTCTCTTTGTATGCTTATTTTATCATCTCCGAATTGTTTAGTTTGTTTCTATACCAAACCTAAGTTTCTTATTCAGAGTTAGATGCTGCTGCTGCACATCTGGATTTATTCAGTTGCATTTTTTTCAACAAATATTTACTGAGCACCAACAACAATGTTTCCAAACCTAAGTTTCTTATTCAGAGTTAGATGCTGCTGCTACACATCTGGATTTATTCAGTTGTATTTTTTCAACAAATATTTACTGAGTACCAACAACAATGTGTCAAACATTGTTCTAGGTTCCAGGAAAATGTTGGTGAACTTTAAAAAGTCTCTGACCTCATAGAGTTTACATTCTAATAGATAGTGATATGTTATGCAAATTTAGGATGGATTATATATTTTTAACAGAAAGACATATACGAAAGTTTCTATTTAAGTAAATTGTTGCTGGTCTTTTGGGACAATAACAAGAACTCTGACTTTCTAAAGATTTCCAAGCTTCCTGAGCATAGCTATGAAGATTAATAAAAAGTCCAACTAGCCTTCCCCTGTCAACTGAAACACACACAAGCCCCGTGGTTCTTAAAGAAGGAGATCCTGGTGTTTGTCTCATTTGTGTGTACAATTTCTTAATTCCAGATCTTGTGTACCAAGGCTGAGAATTCCAGAATGGTCTCACAAATTGACAACACCAAACTGGCTGCAGATGACTTGAGAGCCAAGTAAGCTCGCCCAACACTGTCATTGACGATAGAACTCACCCTGAGTCTGACCCAGACACTCCTTTTATAGTATCCTCGAGCCTACTAACCCTCCTGCCCCATACCATGTTGGCACTAGCCCCATAGAGACTTTCAAATTCAATAAATGATGACGATTGATAACTATAGTACCTATGGATTCTAGCACATGAACCCATCTGATTACCTGCATGATAGTTCAGTAACACAGGTAGGGCTAACATATTGTTACCCCATTTAAGGTGAGAAAACTGTTCTTCAATGAGGTTACTTATCCAAAGGTATATAACTAGCACAGGACAGAGCCAAAACTTGGACCCAGTGCTTTTCCCACTTATACCGCATTGCCTCTAGGGACAAAGGACGGAGGATAAATTCTCTCATCTCAAAGAATAGCAATGTAGCATCACCCTGGAAGACTAATTTAGGAATGATGATTAAGTCAGGATATTTATCAAGTGGTTTCACCTCTAAAAGAGAATAAAACCCTCGATAGAAATACACTAAATGAGCTGCCCAGAGAAAAATGCAGAAGGGAGCTCTGCTTGGGTGGTTTGCACCATTTCTTTCTAATGCCTTCCTTTTCACATCTGATTTTTAAAGGTATGAAGCTGAGGTGTCCCTACGCCAGCTGGTGGAGGCAGATGCCAACAGCCTGAAGCAGATCCTGAATGCACTGACCCTGGGCAAGGCTGACCTGGAGGCGCAAGTGGAGTCTCTGAAGGAGGAGCTGCTTTGCCTCAAGAACAGCCACAGAGAGGTTAGAGAAAGACCAAGAGGGTCACCATAAGCTAAGCCTCTAAAAATAGCATCAATTCCTTGGAGTTGTATTTGGCAAAGGGTGTCCCCACTAGCTACTACTCTGGTTTTAGTCCTGGTAACACCTCCTGCTGCTACCTCTGGTTCCAAGTAGTATTTTAAACCCATTGGCTACAACATAGTATCTGGAGTCACGTGGGGTAGGAAAGCCCCCATCATCCCCTCCAGCTTTTCTGTGAGAAGGAAGGAACTCCATTTTTCTGTCCTCGCAGGCCTCCCATGTGAGTGGACATCCCTGCACAGACTTCTGCCACCTCCTGTTGGTACAAGTCCATACTGGCACAAGCCCACGTTGGCATCATAGAAACTACGGTCTCGAATTATAAATTCCATCTCGACATGGCGTCACCCATTACCCATCTCTAGAGATGATCTAAATTCTTTGGAATTCTGATCTTGCTACTCAATTCCTTTTGATTTTGCACAAATTTGAACATACGAGCCCACATGAAGTAGCGTTAAATCATTTTATAGCATTTCAGTAACACCTGTAAATCAATCATGTGTTCCTTTACTGTGGGCTATATTTCAGACACAAGTAAGCTCAATTATTACTGCCAGACTGAAACAGGAACCTAAGGGGGTCATCTGTCTACCAACTAACTTCAGGTTCCTTTTCTCTCCCATAGGAAATCGATTCCTTACAGAGCCAGCTTGGGGACAGGCTTCACATCGAAGTGACGGCTGCCTCTTCTGTTGACCTAAACCAGGTTCTACAAGAAACAAGATGTCAATATGAGTCCATCATGGAGACAAACCGTAAAGATGTGGAACAATGGTTCAACACGCAGGTGGGGAGAGTTATAAGAGTCAAAAACAAGAAGCTGATGTTGCATTTCCAGGGCCCTTTAATCAAAGTCACGCTTTCCTCCCATAATACCCATGGTCTTGGGCTGTGTTTCAGATGGAGGAGCTGAATCAGCAGGTGGTGACCAGCTCTGAGCAGCAGCAATGCTGCCAGAAGGAGATTGTAGAACTGAGACGCACCGTGAATGCTCTGGAGGTTGAACTGCAGGCCCAGCACCGAATGGTACCCAGCAGACTGACCGAGCCTAGCTCAGCGATGACGGCAACAGCCCCTAACCCCTGTGTGTTGCAGTATTTCCCAAACTGTGTCTCCCAGAACAACAGTTCCTCCATTTGTTAAAATGGTCTATGGACAAAAAAAAAAGGACTTCGTGGTCAAATAAGTCTGGAAAATGCTGGATTAAACAAAGGTTAAACAGGGCACCTTCCTGCGAACCTTTCATAAGCTGATATAAACCATGAATCTCCAGGAAGGGAATCCATGGTATTTAGCATTCCAAAGCTTATTTGACTCTGGACTCCCTTTTTTAATAGAGCATCTCATGGCGATAATGATTCATGGAGTACACTTTGGGAAATACTAAGAGAGCATTTTATTATATGCAAAGCATTTTTACAAGCTATCGTATTAGATTTATAAAACAATCTTATGAGGGAGGTGGCATGGTTATTAACCAATTTACAGATGAGGCTCCAAGAGCTAAGGTGATTTTCCCAAGCCAAATCCAAGATAAGTTTCATCTCACCTATTTTATAGATAGAAACGTGGAGATTCTGGGGCATTAAGTAACTTGTCCAAAGTCACAGAAGCAGTAAGAGTTTAAGCCAGAATCCAGATTCCAAAGCCAATACTGCTTCCGCCTCATGATACTGCCTCTCTGAAGTGGGAAGTCACTTAAATGCTCTGAGAGGAAGGGTGTTAGGAAGGTGGGCATTAGGAAGACCTTGCCCCAAACTGGTTTTGTCACCAGCTTCTCATGTGACCTTGGACAACTCATTGAACCTCTTGAACCTCAGTTTTCTCATCTGAAAAAATTGGGATAATCATGCAAATCATAGGTTATTAAAACCTAAAATGTTACCATTACCCATAGACTTACAGAATGCAAGAACAGGAAAGAACTTTATTAATCAAAGTTTAAACACTTATATTTTATACATAAAGCAACTGATTTGGTGAGGGACTTGTTTATGGTTCAATTTTGCTCACTTCCCTTTTAAGGTAGGAACAGTCATTGAATGAGGTGCCATGATAATGTTTTTTAATGTCTAGGTGTGCAGTAAGTTGAGATATTTGTTTCTCTCTTAAGTAGGAGAATATGGTGGGAGATTATCAGGTAATCAAGAAAGAGGAAGAGAAGTAAGAGGGGACTAAGGAATGCAAACTTTGGCGTAATCAATAATTTTGCTTTGGGATTTATTTGGTTAGAAGGTAATAAAAGGGCTTGGTGATCCATTAGTACTGACACAAGGAAACCACTGTTTAAAATGATACAATGAACTCAAAGGAGATATCCTTATAAATCCTACTTTCCTCCCCATGGTAGAGAGATTCCCAGGAATGCTTCCTGACGGAGATCGAAGCCCACTACACTGCCCTGCTGACCCAGATCCAGTGTCTGATCGACAACCTGGAGGCTCAGCTGGCAGAGATCCGGTGTGCCCTGGAAAGGCAGAACCAAGAATACGAGAGTCTGCTGGACATCAAGTCCCGGCTGGAGTGTGAGATTGCCACGTACCGCAGCCTCCTGGAGGGCTTGGACTGCAAGTACGTAAAACGAAAATGACCAGTATGACATAGACACACAAATGCACACATGTATGTACTGCCACTGGCAATGAGTGGACAAGTGTTTTGTTTGATCTTCTTGCCAGGGATGGGGATCTTTGGACAGAGGCGTCCACACGCTCTCTCAAGCTGTGCTGTTGGGAGACCCACAATTGTAACTGAGTCCAGGTTGAAGGTGTTAGCTGAGCTGAGCTGTTTTGAAGAATCCATGCACCAAGTTAATTCCTTATAGGTTATTTAGATTCTTAGAGTATTTAAATTACCAAAGAAAAAATGGTTTCCCCAAAGATGAACAAACCTGGCGACAAATTTTTCCCCACTCAGATGAACTGAAATATGACTTTCAGGACATTGTCATGACATTGAACGGAACAACACTGGTTCCTTTGGAGGAACACTCTGCTCAAGTAGAAACCCTAACCCTCTCTAGCCACTAGTCCTTGATGCCAAAAGTAGCATGTGCACCTGTGTGTTTTAGCCTCTGTTTTTTTTTTTTTTAAAACCAATTGTGCTATCCTTATTCAATGGAATATTTCACAGCAATAGAAAAGAATTAAATACTGTTACACACTATAACATGCTTGAATCTCACAAACATATCAAGCAAAAGAAGTCAGACAAAACAAAGAGTGCATTAGCCTCTGTTTTTAAATAAAAGTTGTAATTTTTTAAATTATAATGCTAACCAACCCATAAGGAACCCAATCTAAAATAACACTCCAGACACAGACTTAGTTACAATTACAAAGGAGAACTCCTTCCCCCAAATAATTGGTGAGCTCTGTTCATAGCAGTCTCTTAATTGACAAACCCACATTACACTAGAACAATGTGAATCAGTACTATGACTTAGGAGTTATGATAATATACCAACGTATCTCAGATTATCAAAGAAAGCTTATATTTATAAAAAGAGTGTTTGCTGTTAATGGCTTCTTACTCCAATTCCCTGAAAACTATTTGTAGACACCCAGAAGGCACTTTGAAGCTTCCTGATGGCATGTTGAGGACTCTTCTGTAGATGGGGTTCAGGCCACCACTAGTGGTGTGACTCCCCAACAACAACAAAAAAAGAAAATCTCATTAGTTTCCATTCCTCAGATAGTAAGCCTCTCAACTTGTTCCTTATCACTGTTAATCCTGCCAATTTAATTCCCATTATATACATGCTGTAGATGAAAAACTAAAGTTCAGGCAGGTTAACTGACTTACCTGAGGTCACCAGCTGGTAAACGACACAGCTGGGCTCCACCCCAGTCTGTGACTTTCCACCATGCTAGGGTCTTGACTGCAGTGGAAACTTACAGAATCTCATACTTCTAAACCTAGGACACTGTTTTCCAATGGATCTGATCTGATCGTTTTTCTTCTACCAACTACAGTATAAAGTGCATGCATAAGGATTTGGAAGTACTTGATTTGAGTCACAAATATTGAAAAAAGTAGCCACTGCCATTTTTCTCTACTACCACTATTGCTTTCCGTCAATCACAGCTAAAATTCTGTTTTTTTCTTAGGCTTCCCTGTAACGCGTGTGCCACCAAATGTGAGCTTTCCACTTGCACACCCTGTAAGGCCAGGGCCACGGAATGCACGGCTCCAGTTTGCACAGCCTCAGCCCCCCGTGGTGCACGCAAGCCCTGCAGTGCCTATGATCCCCTGTCCCGGATACTGGTTAAAATACTCACCATCACCAAGGAGATTAAGGATGGGAAGGTCATTTCTTCTCATGAACACGTGCAGCCTTGCTACATCACCAGACCTGCCAAAGTCTAACACCCCAAGGTGATGAAAATGACCCACACTCATGAAAGAGAGGCCAATACATGCTCCTGCCAGAGAGGTTTAAGAACTCCCCAGTCCCTTAAGGTACTTAGTTTCTTACTACTACAGTGGGTCCCCATGGCCAAGTAGAATGGCTTTGATTCTGCTCCTTCCCTAACTGGCTGCTGCCAATAAGATAATAAATTACACTTCACTGGAAAGACATCTTGCATTTATCTGAGGGATGGGAATGAATCTGTAATCGCCCAGGATGATGGCCTACATTGCTTGACTCCGCAGGTGACTGTTGAGAAGGTTTCTCCCTTGTTTACTTACGTTCCTCCTTAGAGCCAGTCAGACAAGTTTAGGATTGTCCTTGGCCATTGGCGCATGAAGGTGAAAAGCTATCACCTTCCCTTCTAAACTCTTTTGGATACAGGAAGAAGCTTACATGGAACAGTATGAACAGGGGAAAAGATCTTTAATATTTAGTTTCCTCGAAAAGACAGTCACCAGTCTGGATCCTACTAAACTCTGCTGTCCCAATTATTAGTTACCTCTACTATAACATAGTTGGCCTCCTCTAAGATATTTTTAAAGATGTCCATGTTCTCCAAAACTTTGTGAACCATTGGACTCTCCAAATATTTTCTTTGGGAATCAGATATAGTTGTGGGGAGTGAATTTGGAGCACTTTGAAGAAATAGCATGGGTCTTTTCATTAAATGTGTGCTATTTCTCTTTCTGTTCTTTAGGGAATGGAAGTTTGTCCTGACTGTTTGACAAGGGACATGTAGCTGGAATTCTCAAGATATAAGCACTGCCTCTCTCCCTCCCTGTGATGGGTGACAAGGAAAAAATAGCTTAGACTCCTGCTTGAGTCTATTCACCAGAGAAAAATGGACTTATCCACAAATATTACAAAAAAGCAATAGTGAATATCCGCTGCTCGCAAGGATAAGGCAGTCAAGTAGAGTTACAAAGTGTGTAAGTCATTTTCTACAAAAATTGTTGGACATTTCCAGGGGTTTTAGTAAATAATTTCAAATCAAATGCAGAGTGTGGAGTCAAAAGCCCTGAAGTCCTAAACTTGCCATCTGCCAACTGTGATCCTGGGAAGGAAACATTTAGCCTCCATCAAATTTAATTTCCTTGTTTGTTGAATAAGGATCATGCCTACTTCACAGGGTTGTTGTGAAGATCAAATGAAATTGTTTATGAATTGTCTTTGAATGCTGAAAAGCACTATACACATGTTACTTTTATATAAGCTTTGCTTTTAGCTATAGACCTAGATCTAATTTTGTCATTATTATCTCATTTTAAGATTCTTTCTCCATGAATTTAGTTATCCAGTCATGATTTTGGAGTTTTAATAAAGTTTAATGTTTGGAAAAGAAAAAAAAAAAAAAAGAACAAGATCTCCTGTAATCAAGCCCACAATTCTACTCAATAAAGCATTTCTTAATTCTTAGGGTATGTATCAGATATCAGTCAACGCCTGATGCCCACATCAAAGACACACGCGTTGTTTAACTCACAGCTCAGCAATTTACTTCCTCCTGACAAGTAGCAACTTACACTAAGCAAATGGAATGCAGAACTCCCAGAAGGATCTCTTTTCTGTCAATAATTTCTCTCTCCTCTGAATGGGCAGAGTACCTCTGGTCAGTACTTAACGGCATGCATCTCAGACTGCAGGATGAAGTGTGGAAAGAGCATGGAACCGGACTCAGAAAACTTGGGACAGAGTCTCAACCCAGCCTGTGTGTGTGACCTTGAGTCAAAGGATAGAACATGGGCCCCGCCTACCACACACTGGAAGGATTAAAGGGGATAGCGATGACGAAAGGATCTTGTAAAGTGTAAGGCGCTTTGCAGAAGGGGGTTCTTATTCCCTAAATTGAAAAACAGACATATGTCGTTTCCATCAATGCCTTCTTCCTTCCCGTCTGGTTCAGTGCTAGGCCTGAGTGGACCTTGATACACACCATCAACATGAAAATCTGCTCTGAGCTTCTGATCCCAACAAAACTAGGCTTTAGGAACCTCACGGGACTCAAGGTAACCTTGGGGTGATGCAGAAATGCATTCTCAATTTATGCCAGAAATAAGACAACTTCCTCCCACTCAGAGCGAAGTATCCTCCATGCCTTTCACGGTAATAAATAAATAAATAAATAAGCAAATATATTATAAGCTACACAGTAAAGAGGGGATTTAGCCACTCAAAGGCTTATCATTTTTTTAAAGTGTCTTCTTTGTGTAAGAGAATGTAAAACCATCTGCTGAACCTTGTATGCATGTGGGCAAATCTTTTAAAGAGAATAAGAAGTCTGGATTTTTATTAGGAAGTTAAATAAGTATCCTCTACAGCCACAGGAGGGAGTTCAAGGTTTTGTTACCTAGTTCTGCAAAGGTCCGCAGCTGGAATAGAAAAGGGGCTTGTGGGGAGGGAAAGAAAGGATTCCATAAAAGCACATAATTTTAGCATAGTTTGAAAGACAACCGTGAATCAGGAAAAATCATGGTCTCTAGAGCCTGAGTTCAAATCCTTCCTCTGCCTGTCACTGTGAGGGTCCATGATTATATTTCTAAACAAACAAGATACCTGAGATACCTATTTCCAAAATTTTGAAAATTTCTTCTTGATGGCTCCACTTAATGTCATAGCTGGTTTATACCCTTCCAGATATGAGAGTAACCATGCTTCCCCTGCCCTTAGCTTCTCACCCCTCAACTGCCCCCATCACCCGCCCCAGCCCACAGCCCCCAGCCTTCCTACCCTTACTTCCCAAGGTCAATGCCAGCAACTGCTGCTCAGAAAAGGCTGTCCAGAAACTTGTCCTCAAAAGTTCATTTAGTGCTAGGTAACCCCTTACATGACTCTCCACCAGGATTTCTCGGTGTGACCCAGAAGCCACCTGTAACCCTAAACCCCCTGGGGAGCTTGTAAAATTCAGATCCCTGGGTTCTATCACCAACCTCCTGCATTAGCATCTCCAGGAGTGGGACCTGGGAATCCAAATTTTAACAGGAGTCTCACCAAGGTGTCTGCACTGCGTTAAAAGCTACTGCTTTATAATGGACAGGTCAGTGAGAGAATCTGGTGTTCTTCCCTCTGCCTGTCACCCCCCCACCACATTCACAGTGCACAGCAGTGGCATGACATCTAATGAAGACAACGCTGGACCACAAGACCGTGACCTTGGGCTCCAGTTTCAGAAGCATCATTTGGCTTCTTTGTGCTTGGACTCTGGGCACTCACCATGGACTCTTCAGATTTGATGTCTAATATCCTTAGTTTCTTTTACAAGCTCTGATATCATTCCCCTGAGCATGTCTAGTTTTCTATGTCTGTAAATAGGAAATGACACCAGAAATAATGTCCCCCACCCATTCATGTCTTTTAAAGGCAATTGGAGGGTATCAAAGAGATCCTTATGTACTTTGGAAGCTAATTACTCTATATTGCTAACATTAATTCCTGTAATTTCCATTTATCATTTGATAATGGAGAACAATGGAGAAAAATATCTTACTTTAGACAGAAATGAACTAGTTACCTGAGTACCTTCATCCTAATTCTGTCCGTTGTCATTTAAAATTAAACTTTTTATAATAAAAAGTGTCTTAAAAGCAAATGCCCTCTCTAAATGAGAGAGAGGGGGAAAGATTAAAATTTAGGAGAAAAGAAAAGTGTCCCAGAAGAGAAGAGAATAGCATCACCCATGTTAGGAAGCATTTCTAGGCTGAGGCAATCAGCATTCATGACCCAGAGCCATGGGTCAGCCTCAGGGTGAGCAAGGCTGGAATGCATTGTTCCAACACCGTCATCAAATGTCTTTTATAGGAAATGAATCCTTTGGCTATTTGGCTGGCTAGAAATATCTGGTCAGTGTGTTCATGCCTGATTCACAAACTTCATAGGAACAACCCACGCACCCAGGCCAACTGGGAACAACCCTAAATGGCAACACTGAAAAGGTTTATTTTAATTGGAATTATCCTTTCAGGTTGAGCAGCATATTCAGAGAGATTTCCTAGGCAAAGCTTTTAAGTCATAGACTACCACTTATGTGCATATAAGAAAAATATGTAATATGCCAGTGTTTCTAAATGTCCCAAAGAAGTGTGAGAGTAGCAAAGTTTCTGGATGTGTTTTCTGGATCTTTCCTCCCCTTGCTCTCTGGAATGACATAACAATCAAAGGGGACAGACCAGTGGCATCTGGAGAAAACAATACCGGCAATAAGTTCTCTTACTATGTTCCAGGAGGAAAGCAGTTTGGGGCCTCCCTTCTCTGTTTCTTTCTCTAAAAATCAGAAACAAAAAAAAATCAAGAACTCCTTTCTCCTAAGCCAGGAGCAAAAATCTTTGCTATCACAGCTCCTTATGGAGGCCCAGTGGGCCCAGCAGGTGGCTGAGAGTTAGCCCAGAGAGGGTTGTACCTACCTACTTGGTATTAATATTTGTGGTCCTTGGAGAAGTCACTTAACTGTACCAACCCAGAAGAGCTAGAAAGAGACCACACTTTGGTCACTTTGGGCTGAATTTCTTTAAATCGGTGTAGTTGGGTGTAGAGGGCTACCTATCCCCAGCCATATGTAAGAGTAAAAAGGTTGTCTCTCTGCACTTCAGTAGAAGACAAGTGTTTGTCAGCTCATTTTCCACTGACCCACCAGAAAAACATAGCTGTGCCCTCCTCCCTCACTGCCACTGTCCAAGCAATTCCCCCACCCAGCTCTCGGCACAGCGCTGTGGTTGCAGAGAGAAGTCTCACGGTAGAGAGCAAATAAAACCACAACCCACTTAAGAGGACTCTGTAAGTGGAGGAGGAAAAGGAGATGAGGATGAAAAGCCAGAACAAGTAGCCACTACAAAGGCAGTAGAAAAAGCAAGAAGAGAACTTTGGCCATCTCTCTTTAAAAAGCAGAATTACACTCTGATTAAGAGCATCAAATTAGTATTAATTGATCAACACTTATGTGCACATATAGTAGTAACATTCATTGGGTGTCAAGCAGATGGGGGGGAGGTGGGGATGGGTATAGTCACACCTAATGGGCACAGCGTGCACTGTTTGGCAGATGGACATGCTTGTAGCTCTGACTCTGGTGGGGCAAAGGCAATATATGTAAACTAAACATCTGTACCCCTGTAATATTCTGAAATTTTAAAAAAAAGTTGTA